CCTCCCTTCCTTCCTTCTTTTTCTTTTCCTTTTCCTTTTTCTATTTCTTAGATGGGATCTCACTATGTTGCTTGGAATCATCCCAAACCTCTGAGTTCCACTGATCTTCCTACCTTGATCTCTTCAATAGCTGTGACGGCTATTGTATTACGTGTGTGTGTGTGTGTGTGTGTGTGTGTGTGTGTGTAGTATAGGAAGTCAGACCCACAGGTGTTCTGCCACTGAGCTATGACCTAAGCTCTTTTTTTTTTTCCAAACAGGTTCTGTTTAATTAGCTTAGTTGGGACTTGAACTTGTGATCTTCCTGCCTCAGGCTTCTAAAATGCTGGGATTACAGATGTTGGAGGCGATGACCGTCAGCATTGACACTAGCAGATTTTCATAATGACCTAAGGTGTGAGCAAGAAGACAGGATGGCATGGGCAGTAGGCCGTGCAGATCACTGAGGGTATAGTCTCAGTTTTTCAAATGTTTACATCTACAGGGGGTAATATAATGATAGTTATGACAAAATATACCTCACATGTGTGTAGTCTTCAAGTTAACTACTGACAAAATTTTTCTCCTACTTTATTTGTTCCTCTGAATAAATAATTTACCAGATTAGTATACGATCATTAACATGTACAGCATAGCGGCTGTAACAGAATGTTCAGAATTGCATTACTTATGATTATGGAGAAAATTGTAAGTGCAATCAATGACATTTTATAAATTTGCTATTATGATTTACCTTTGTGTGGTAACTTGATACGTTCTTGCTATTCTAAATTAGTGTTTAAACCGCATATTTTTTATAAGCATGGACTGTAGATTTAAAGTGCAGGGCTTTGCACTTTAGCTCTACCCCTTAGGTAAATGGATGAACCTGAGCATCAGTTTCCTTATCTATAAAATGGGTATATTTAAAGGATCAATTGTGGTGAGCCATGCATACAGTCATCAAATCCCAACTGGTCTTAAACAGAAGTGCTTGTGAGCTGAGATACCACTGTATTCGTTTCCTTTGCTGCTGCAACCAATTACTACAAACATTGTAGCTTACAGCTATGAAAATTTACCTTTCACCCCTGGAGGTCAGAATTTTGAAGTGAGTTTGCTGGAGTCCAATCAAGGGGAAGGCGGGGCTGTTCTGCCTGTGGGCTCTAGGCTAATGCCGCTTCTCTTCTACAGCTTGTAGAAGTCACTTGGATCCCTGGGCTTGTAGCCTACTCCATGTCCAAAGTCATCAGTGTAGCATTTTCTCTTCTTCATTACTTCTGCTTCTACCCTCAGATCTTCTCTGCCACCCCCTCTCTTACTCTCTCTCTCTCTCTACATCTCTTATGAAGATTTTATGGATTGCCTGCAGTGCACCTAGACAGTCCAGCAGATACTGGCATTTGCAAGGTCCTTAACTAATTGTATCCGCAAAGTCCCTTTGCCTGTAAGGTAACATACTCATATGGGATTAGCTCATAAACGTCTTTTGGAGGTAGGGGATTATTCTCTACCCTCCCATCTACTTCTTAAAGCAGCTAATATTATTATTTCTTCTGCACATTCACATTGCCCACCAAGCTTCTCTGACATTTACATAAAATAGTTAAATGGTCATTTTGCATCATGTAGAAACTGAAATAAAACTGGATTTTACTAACTCAGCCTCTGATTCTTTTCCAGACTATTTTAACGTTCTGTTCTCTGACTGTCTGCTAAGGTCAGGAGACCATTAGTTTCTATCATCTATCGTTGTCAACAAGTAGGAAAGCTAATTGACTATTTCACTCTGGCCCCAAAGAAAGTGCATGTGATTTTAATACTCTGCTGTGTCTGTGTGGCTATTTTCTAATGAACTCCTCTCTGGGCTTATTTCATGTTAGACACTCGTGACACTTTACAGGCATATAATCTGATGTTTTGAGAAATTGGGTCTGTATTTTATGGTTCATCCAACAAAGCTTCTTAGCTGATTTTGAAAACTGCTTAATAAGCTGAACACTCACTTCCAGGAATGACAAGTATCATAATCAATGAGAGACATTCTTTGGTCAGTTATCAAGAGCAGCTGCTTCCCAGGAAGCCTGTTCAAGGGAGAAGTTCCAAAACATGATTTAATCCTCAGACTTCTTTTTTTCTGCCTGCTACAATTATCACTTGCTTCAAGATTTAGCTCAAAGGCAGCTATGCCCTGAAAGCTTTCCTCCAACTATACTTCACCATGACTTAGTATTTGGTTTTTTATCTATTGCTTTGTATTTAGGATATATGCACACACAGAAGCATATAAATATTCATTTGTCTTCCTCTTCCCAAAAGCAATTTGTTGTCTCTTATTTTTTTTCCGTTAAACTCAAATGTAAACTACTAATTCTCCTGTATCTCCCACAGGGTAACTAACACTGCGTTGTGCACTTAATAAAGGCTTGCAAATGACAAAATGAATTCTTTGCTTGGGTTAAAGAGGAGTTCAGCGTGGAAATGAGCCCTTGCATATATGTGTTATTTTCAATGGCTCATTTTCTTGTCAGACTTCCCCCAGTTGTGAATGCCCTGGTGGCACCAATGGCGTTAGGGAAGGTTTTACTACAGAACATTTGGAGGATTAGAAAAATCTCCACAACTTTGGAAGCCTCTCATTTCGTGTTCAGACTTCTATTCTATTCTGTCTCAAAACCAGAATAAGCAGAGAAGAAAGATGGCAAGGTCTACAGGGCTCCATATGTGAAGAAAGCCTCCAGCCCCCTTCAGAAGTAAGTGGGAGGAAGAAAGAGAATACTTATCACAGAACTTCATACTCAGCCATGTTAATCTCCATCAGGCTTGGACTTTGTGAACGAGCTCTTAACCCCACAAAATGTATTCTTGAATGCCTGATGTATTCAATCAGTTTTAAATGATCTTCCTTCTCCAATTTTCTAAAATAAAAGACAAAAACAAAAAAGTATCTTGGGATAATGCAGAAATTCAAACCAAAAGAATGCAGACAAGGTTCAACAGAGTGCTACATACCTGGTCCCTTTTTCTACTTTTTTTTCTGTACTGAATCTGGAAAAACAAAGTACATTTGGGCCATGGAAGGTGCTTAGTGGTATAAAGGGAGAATAAAGCATGATGTAGTTTCAAAAAGATAATTTATCAAACACATACTAGATTATTATAAGGCCAAGCACTTTTTCTCTCAGAATTTCATGTTTTACTAACTTCGCTGGACTGGGCTTTCTGAAAACAAAGGAAGACTCTTAAGTGAGCTACACCCGCTCCGACTGTGAATGTCACTGTCCTATTCCTCCAACTCCGTCCAATTCACACTTTCATGATTGGCTTCCTTTTTGACCCAGGCTTGTTAATTAAATCCAGCTGTAGGCAAATTGCTCTTCCAAGTTGGCAACACTGCGTTCTCAAGCTGCTTGCATTTGTTCCCTTGCCTTGGTAAAAAAGCCTTTGGAGCATGCAATTTCTTGACTCTTGTTTCTGAATGAATCCCAAGTTATGGATATTTTAAAGGGTTCAAGAGACTCACAAAATAACTCTGCTTTTGCGTACCAAGTATTGCTTTCCATCTGATCCCACATTGCCTAAGAACACAGAGGACAGCTTCCTCAGAGACATAGGCACATTGACATCGCTGTTCCTCTAGTTCTCGGGTACTGTGGAGTCGAGATCGAGGTAGCAACTGGCTGGTCACAGTGCAGTTCCAGGGAGCAACCCGGCTTCCCTTTGCCGGTCAAGTTCCAATGTCCATGCGGAACACAACTTTGACGGGGTTAACAATTTTATTCTCCTCAGGAACTTCCTGATCTAGCCAAGCTCCCCTACCCAAGGGAGTCTGTTGACAACACGCAGATGCTTGCAAGAATTGTACTGTAAGGAAATGTTTTTACTCTCCCCCACCTCCTTTTCACCTTTCATAGAGCACATCAGCCCAGGAGATTCTGCCTGACAAACTGGCATTAAAGATGAGGAGTAGGTCATAGGAATTGGGGTGGGGATTGAGGTATAGAAGGAGAAGACCCAAGTCGGAGTTGAAGCCCTGCTATCAACCAGCTGCTTAACCTTGAGCAAGTATGTATTTTATTTATTTTTTTAAGTATGTATTTTTGATTTATGTTTTTTAAGTATGTATTGTTGATTCCACACATAAGTGGAATCAACAATCCTACCTACCTTGGCTACTCCTCAGGGCTCATATGAGGCTAGATTGAGATCACATGGCTGACTATGCTTTCTCAACTGAAAAGCATAATATAAGCAATTAGTTCCTCCTAACAGGCTGAAAATATTATCTAATTAACTGGTTATACATGCATGCTGTGTACAAGACCTTGCATCTGCTGGGTACAGGTTTTTGCATATAATCCTGCAATGAACAAGAGGAGAAAAAGAACACTGAATAATTATTGTCACTCAGGAACTTTCATATCTATACCTAGAACTAAATCAGCATCTCTAAGAAAAACATGTATTTCCTTGAAACCTCTGCAAAATCTGATTGATTAATAGCATTTTCTTATGAAGGAAATTGAAGTATAGAGACATTAAGTGTTGTTTAAGGCAGTGTTTCCCAAATTGTTTCCCTGTAACCTCAGTCCTGAGGGATTCTGGTGCTACAGTTTGGATCTTGATAGTCATCCAAAGGTGGACCTGTTGAAGGTTTGGTCCCAGGCCTATGATGTTGTTAGGGAAGTGGTGGAACCTCCAGAGGGACCTAGTAAGTTTGATACCTGGAAGCCTTCTCCCCGATGCACTGCTGCTCAGAGCACCAAAGTCAGTGGGGCTCGGTGTGCATGGACTGAATCTTCTGAGTCCATGGATTCAAATAAACCTTTTATTGCTACGAATTCATGACCTCAGTTATTTTGTTACAGTGGCAGGAAGCTTACTAACACACCCTTTCTATTAAAGAGTAGTACTGCCTAAAATATTGAGAAACACTGCATTATTCCCCTTAATCCCCCAAGAGATTCCGAGTGTACAATACCATATTGCTCAATCCAGAGTTCTGCAAAATTATTTTATCTTGAAACCTTATTTTTCAATTTAAAATATTAAAATCTTATACAGGCAATCATCTACAGAAAACATTTTGCCAAATTCAGGTCTAAGTTCATGATTGGAGTTAGTATGTAAGAATTGTTCAAGAAGAATGCAATGCAAATCTTTGTTTTTTTTTTTTTTTTTCAATAAAAAGGCTATTTTGGGTTGGGGATGTAGGTCAGTGATGGAATTACTGACTGGCATGCAAAAGACTCTGGGTACAATACCCAGCATTACCAAAACAAGACAAAAACAACCCCAACAAACGATATACAGTGATACCCCTGTTCACAAACTTAATTCTTTCCATGATTCTGGTCCCAAACTGAATCACATGAGAACTGAATCAAATTTTTTGATAAGGTCAACATTGAACAATAAACATTGAATTTGACTGGGTTTTCATCTGATTCAGTTTGTGATCAGGATCACGGAAAGAATCAAGTTTGTGGACTGAGGATCCACTATATACACATAGATATTTATATTATATGTAATTGATACTAGGATTCACGTTTTTCTTTCAGTCTTTTTCTTTGCTTGTTTTCAAAATACATGTAAATTACTGCTACATTTTATTATCACGATATCCTTGCAAGTTATACAACTCTGTCCATTTTTAAATGTGCAGTTTGATAGCACTAAACTCATTCACATTTTTGTGCCCTTAGCGCCGTAATTCCTCCCCAGCACATTTTCACCTTTTTAAACTGAAACTCTATTGTCCCCGGGATATTTTCATTCAATATTCTATCATCAACCTTCTTCCATTTTGCAGTTTACTTTTCTCATAACCTTCATTTCTTGTGATTGTGAGCTATTTTATCATATCATGCTCACAAATCTACTTATTATAGGACATTATATTATTTCCACTTTCTCTTTTATAAATAACTTAGTGTGTATAAAATGTTTAATATTTTGGAGTTTCTTCAAAATAGATCAAAAATATAAACATTTTAGTGACTGTTAATGTAAATAGCCACATCTTTTCTAGAAGTTATGGAAAGTTTATACCTCATCTATTCATTGATTGGTATATTAATTCACTATTTGAAACAAAAACAGTAAGTTTCTAGTATTTGCCAGACACGTAGCTGTATGCAAGAAACACGCAGGGTCAGATAACTACATTGTCTATGGGCTGAGGTTAGTGATGGGCCTTAAGGACAGAAGGGCTCATTTATTTGTCCAAAATTTTTAGTGAAAAGGTATCTTTGTTGGTTTGTTGTTTCCTTATTAAGAATACTATTCTTCAAATTCATTCTCTCCCTTCCTAAACTTAGTCAAACACGTGGTAGAGGGCAAACGACTGTAATCTCTGATCTTGCTTTCTCACGTTTGTAGTGAGAGGCACTGAACATCCTAAAGCCTCAAGGAGATGCTGTTCATCCTGAAATCCCTCGTCTGCTGCTTGTCCAAGGGAATTGGGCAAAGGAAGACCCGCCAGGCACTACCTCAGTGTCTGAAGAAGCGCTTTGTGTTTTTCAACAAATACCTTATCATGTCATGAGCGTCACCTTTCTTGACAGAACAGGAGAACACATGAATCACGGATGTCGGGCTTGGTTTGTTCTTTCTTTGGCAAATTGCTGCGAAATCTTAGAAAGGTCTACTGAGTTCTCCTAAAGGAGAACACGTCTTTCAGTTTTTGGTTACTTGTGATCTAGGAAGTTTTCTTAACTAAAAAAATAGGAATGGTGATAGTGTGCGCAAAGTTCTAAGCTAATGAGTTTTTAAAAGTCTGCTGTACACCTTAAGGAAAGGTGAATTTGACTACGATGACCTGAAGTGACAAGTGTTAGCCTGGTAGGTATACTGATGGGCATGTTACACAACTCAAAACTCCGTGCAATCAGTGTTCTCTTCTTACCAACAGTATAAAAAGCCTGGCATCCATCTAACATATACCTATATATAATATAGATGTGTGTCTATCATCCTGTATTCCATGTTTATTTTCATTTACAGTTACATCTCTAGGCTCTGCCCAAAGACCTGTCCATGTAATTAAAAGAATATGTGGGCCGCTAAACCATGCAAATATTACATTAAATTGAATTTCATATCGCCTTGATGTAAATATTTTAAAGATAAGATCAGAGTGGCAGACGTCAGCCAGCGAATTATTGTTAGAAATTGTACACATGGCATCCACATTCCGCACGCATGTTATGTTTATTCAGTTGTGATCACATCTCTTTTTGTGATATTTTACGAAGATGAAGAAAGTACGTGCTGCACGGCCTCACTACGGAAGCCAGCCAAGGTGGCATATGGTGATGCCACTTCAAGCTGCGGGAGAAGGCGCACACTGTAAGATACCTCACTGCCGTAATGTAATACAGCGTTATTTTCCTCCAGATCCTTCGTAGATCGCTATTTTCCTCGTCGGAGTAAAGTCCTTTTGTTGAGTGCATTTTTGCTAAACAGTTGCGAGATCTTACACACCAAAGCCCCGTGTACCCCACCAGCTCTGAGCCAAAGGCTAGCGAGGCTAAGAAGCCCTGATGCGATTCTCTGGCGGCGGCGGCAGAGGCGGAGAGACAAGGCGGTTTGGAAGCATGCAAAGTCAGCGTGGCGGGAAGTAAACTCCGACACTGGATAAACGACAAATAAACCATAAACGAGACAACGCCAGTTCACACCGGAAAGTTTCTTATTTATTTGGGCATAAGTTGCATTTACGATGTGAATAAGGAATAGTAAGGTTCCCGTGGGGGTGGCTGTCTCATTCCTCATTACAGGAAAAAGGAACAGCGACATTTCTAGGCAGATCGGCCTTTCCTCAGGGGTTGCTTCCACCTCGCGGTGCTTCCTACCGGCAGCGAGCTCTCCACCTTGGAGACAACCCCCGGCCGCCTCCCCCACACGCCCGGGGGCGCTGGGTCCCCGGGATCGGTCTCCTGGGGCAGCCCCTCGGCTTACCAAACTCCGAGCTCCGCAGCAGGGCGGCGCGCTCGCTGTCCCCGAGCCGGGAAC